TTATCTTTTATCATGTTTTATGTATTTATTTATTTATTTAGTTATTTAAATGATCAATATGGTAAAGTAATATACTACTACTTTTCAAAATAATAATGATAATAATGATGATGATTTAGCAAGAAAATCACTACCTTGTAATATAGCCTATACTTCATCCTTTGTATCTGCTTAAACTGAATGGAGGTTTGTGCATTCAAACTAATAAAATAATATTAAATTGGCAACTTTAAATCATTAGCTGGACAGGTCATTTTTTCACATGCTGTGTGGGTTGGGAAACATGACAGAATTGCTGTCCTCAGCAGCAGGGCAATAGAGGCAGATGGTCAGAGAGTTTCAATGCAAATGCTCTCGCCTACCACCAGAATCCGCTCATCTCAGGTGAAGAAAACCCCAGTCCAGCTCAGCCTATACTGATTACACATGCATACCATTTGCATGTTATTAAGAGGCAGCTTGTTGGAGCATGAAACAGATGAGGGCCTTCCAGCTGGCTGCTGTCACATGTAAGAAATCCGTTAGCCGAGTGTGAATTCAGTAATAACAGGAGGATGCAAATAAATAACTGATCTTGTCACGTTCAGTTTTTAGGGCAAAAATACCAGTTACATTTAGAGCGTGCTTCTGTCAAAGCAATCTTTTAGTCATTGCTAATCATGTTTGATTTGTTTGCTACACAATTTGTTTTGTATTTTCTCTACCAAATGCTTGTTGGTTTCTAGTTATTGTTACTACTAAAAAGCATTCGATATTAACATGGCTTCATTTATTTCTGCTCTTGTTTTTTGATGTAAAGGGTCTGAGATGCTTTCTCGTACACTATCTATGTTGCAAGCTTTGTTCTTTATGACATATGTCCTCCTTCATACAGGCAATGATACAATTTACTGGACAGACATGGGATTAAACCGGATCTCAAGAGCCAAGAGGGATCAGACATGGAGGGAAGACATTATCACGCTTTGCTTACCAAGGCTGCATATATTTGGTCAATCAGCACAATATAGTATAATACAATTTAAATATATTAAAAACAGTAATATTGTGAAATATTGCAATTTAAAAAAAATTATCTATTATTTATTTATTTAATTATTTATTTTACCAGGTAACCTTTACTGGACAGACCATGGCCTCAACCTCATTGAAATTGCTCGTCTGAATGGTCTCTACCGGTCAGTTGTAATATCAGAAGGGCTGGACCAGCCAAGAGCCATTGCAGTGCATCCACAGAGAGGGTACGGATCAGTTTCAGCCATGTCTGCAGTTCAGTAATATAAATCTTTAGAATCATTTTAGAAATTACTGAGTGAATTTTAGGGAAATATGCAAGTGCATTAGACCAGATAATACAATGAGCTCTTGGAAGAGAAATGAAAATGCATTTTAAACCTTTGAAGGTCAAATAAATTTTGTGATCTGACTTGGACTGTTTTGCTAACAGAACTGGCTTTAAAATGTCTTGGCCTCCACTAATGAACCAAATTAAGAATTTAAAACCAGCAGATATGCATCTCTTTACTGGACAGACATGGGATTAAACCGGATCTCAAGAGCCAAGAGGGATCAGACATGGAGGGAAGACATTATCACCACTGGCATCAACAGAGTGGAGGGCATCGCAGTCGATTGGATTGCTGGTAAGACACAAACATCATTTTAAAAATGGAATGCTGCCATTTTTTACCACTGTCACAAATTATCCAAATAAAATCTTTGCATTTCTAGCCTTTAGATATACTACTATTAAAAATGTTTAGGGCCAGTATGTATGTATGTATGTATGTATTTAATATTTTATTTTATTTTATTTTATTTTATTTTATTTTATTTTATTTTTTTTTTTTTTTTTTTTTTTTTTTTTTTTTTTTTATTTTTTTTTGTAAATATTTTATTTTTTTTAATGGAAAAGTCCTGCCCAACTTTTTTCTCATTTGAGAGGCATTTTTACTCGAATATACATCACAAAAGATAATCACTAATTCCGCTTCATGCTGACTTTAATTAATATACATATAAAATGCATGAGTAAATGCATTTTAAACCTTTGAAGGTCAAATAAATTTTGTGATCTGACTTGGACTGTTTTGCTAACAGAACTGGCTTTAAAATGTCTTGGCCTCCACTAATGAACCAAATTAAGAATTTAAAACCAGCAGATATGCATCTCCATTTAGGCACAGGCTCATTTTGTAGTCCGTTATGGTATTGTTTCAGTAATTAGGGTCAAACTTTATGGTTTCCGATCTTGCCAGTTTTGTCTGTGTCTGCCTTGAATTTGATGTTTACAACCTGCAATCAGAATCACACAGCGAAAAGACAAGTTTTAGACATATGAACGCTTTAACCCATCTACCATCTACCTGCTGACAGCATCAGGAGTGGGATCCTCTAAATCCCAGACATCCAAAAAACAGCCTCCAATTCAGCCTATGGCTGTGAAAGCTGTCTTTTCCTTTTCCAGTTGAGTCAAACTTTGAATGACGTTTCTTTGGTGGTGTAACAACAGTTATAAAGGAATAGTTCACCCAAAAATGAAAACTCTGACATCTTTTACTCACCATCATTTTGTTCCAAAGCATTCGACTTATTCTGTGGAACACTTTTCCTTGCAGTTTTACAGTGAATGAGTAAAGCTTTCAACCTCATTGAGATCATTGAGAACCATATCAGTGAGATTTTTAAGCATCAAATCAAATGATTAATTGAAAGATTCTATTCTATTCTATTCTGTTCTATTCTATTCATGATTAATTCAATGATTCATCTTCTCTAGTGAACATGCCAAGGTGCTCCAGGGCCAATATCAAGATATATTCAGTGATAAACTGTCTCTAACAAAAAATTTTTTTTATTAATTTTGAAGACTTGGCATATTGTGCACTTTTTGTGAAGCTTTTGCATCATTTTTAAGCTTGATGTCTTCAATTCTGAAGTTGTATGGGTTTGGAATGGCATTAGAGTGAATAAACAATGACAAAATTTTTAATTCAATTCCTTTTGGTCGCTATGAACTTTAGAATTTTGCATGGTTAAGTGGTAATCCAGAGTGTTAAAAATCAAATAAAATGATTCATTGAAAAGATTCAGTTCAAAACAATGATTCATACTTCTCTAATGATCGTGCCAATGTGCTCTAGGGCTGATGTCAAAATATATTTGATGATGATGAGTCGTACGGACCATTTTATGATACTTTTGCATCCTTTTTGAAGCTTGGAGTCTTCACATTTTTGTTTTCTGCAAAGAGTGAATAAATGATTCAATTCTCATTTTCAACTGAGGTCCTTTATTCCTTTAAAGTCACTATGAAATGTAGAATTTAGCATGGTTAAAGTAGTATTCCGCATCTGATTTTTCCAATTAACAGTTATTTATTCTGGACCGAGTGGGGGAAGAATCCTTGCATAGGTCGGGCACGACTGGATGGTTCAGACCAAGTGACCCTGGTCAGTTCTGGCATCGCCTGGCCGAATGGAATCACCATCGACTATGAGGTAGGCCGAATTGGTTCCACTTCCTGATATTCCGCTCACTCTCTTTTCTTCTGATGCTGATAAAATGGGGCTGCTCAAAGGGAAAGGTGCTGATGTGCATTTTCAAATTGCTTTCTAGGAAAATAGATTATATTGGTGTGACGCCCGGACCGACAAGATAGAAAGGATCAACCTTGAAACCGGGGAGGGCCGAGAGATTGTACTGTCAGCCGCCAATGTGGACCTGTTCTCCGTGGCTGTGTTCGGGGCTTACATCTACTGGTCTGACAGGTAATTTATTACTTTACTAAGTGCTACACTCTCCAAAGTGGCCCACGGAGCAAGCTGCTCCAGTCTCAAAGGATTAACCCCTTCCGAGCAAGGTTATTATGAGACCTGCCGTATGTTTCTGTCATCTCCCAGGCAGACTCTGTTGGCCTTATGTAAATAGGGTGTACCGTAAGTCACCGCCAAGGTGATGTTTTCTCGGCTTTAGAGTTAAAGCAGCTTTCCTGTGTGTTTTAATGAGTCTCGCTGCTTTTAATTAAATAACCGCCACCATAACGCTGATGTCAGACTCTTTTTCTGTGCCCTCCGTGGCAGAGCCCACGCCAATGGATCGATCCGGCGCGGATTCAAGAGCGATGCCACCGACACCGTCACAATAAGAAGTGGTCTTGGCGTCAACCTGAAGGACGTGAAAGTGTTTAACAAAGGCCGGGAGAAAGGTTGAGGTTTCAACTTAATGAGTTTATTTTTATTATGCCACATATGTTTTCTTTGAACAAAGCCCAATCATTCTGAATATCTCAGTGTGCATCCAGTGATATCTTTTTATGCTTTTGCATGCAGGCACTAACCCGTGTGCGAGAAGCAATGGAGGTTGTCAGCAGCTGTGTTTTCACCTGGGCAGCGGAAGAAGGACTTGTTCCTGTGCTCATGGGTACTTAGCCGAAGATGGCTTTGCTTGCCAAAGATATGAGGGCTATCTTCTGTACTCTGAAAGGACCATCTTGAAAAGCATCCACCTGTCTGACGAGAGCGATCTTAACTCCCCTCTCCAACCTTTTGAGAATCCAGACTACTTCAAGAACGTCATCGCTCTGGCATTTGATTATCGGCAGCAGACCTCGCACCACAACCGCATATTCTTCAGCGACATCCATTTTGGGAATATTCAGATGATCAATGATGATTGGTCTGGAAGACAAGTCATAGTTGAAAGTAAGTCCAGTTGGCTTTATTGTAAATGCTTTCATGGTTTTCAAGGGGCGTTTGAAAAATCCTGCTAATTGCTACGCTTTTGTTGAGCATAAAAGATGTCCAAAGATGCTTCTTCCACAAAAACGGGCATTTGTTTTTAATCCTGTCGTCGTTCTGATGCAGACTCATTGCAGTGACCCACATGTTGTTTAATGTTCTGCCGCTAGAACACATTCCAGGCTCTTAGCAGCCATTTGTGAAAGGCCATTTGTTGGAAGCCGTAAGTGGCACTGCCTGTGATGTACAGCAAGGCCTCGATGCATCCAACATCTAGTAAAAGTGGTATAATAGCTACCTCCATTTTTCTGCAACTAAATGGGACCAATTTAACTGTCAAAAAAGATGTTTAAAACACTGCATCTTTTTCTGTGTCCCCAGCCTTGATGGATTAAAATCGCTTGTCTCATTTCCACCGTACTCAAACTGTAACAAAAATATGAGTGGAAGCAGGGTGATATTTTTCAAGATCCTGCCTGTCACTGTTGTTGGAAAGTTCAGAATATGGTTATTGATTTCCTCATGTTCGCAATATACGGCAGACATTTCAGCCGCAATCGATATTCACTTCTGATGGTGGCCCACAGTGAAAACCTAATACGCCTAATGATTATGTATCATCCATTTACAATGTAATGAGACAATCATGACAGTTCTTATTATCAAACAACTCATGTATTATAGCTGCATATGCTGTAGTGCATGTTTACAGATGGACTTTCTTTCAGATCCTAATATGTCATTCACAATGTAATTTTAGATTCAGAACTAATACTGACATAATTAGTTTCAAATGGCAAATAATAAGGCATTGCAATAACGTACATGTACACCAGAATTTCTTAAATGAAATTGATAGCAGAACTTCAGGGGATGTTCTTAAAACAAATAGTTCACTCAAAAATTAAAATTCTGTCATAATTTGTCAGTGCCGATTAGGGATGTAACGATTAATCGCGAGCCGGTTGAAAATCGATTTAAATATGTGACAATTCAAATCGTTTGAGATGCTAAACAAATCGCGATTCAATTAGGGGTAGGAGTTTATATGAATGTATGTCTGAGGGGAACTTACTGTCTTTCGATGGTATTTTTTATTTTCCTCTTGCCTCTGTATAATGCATATTAAAGTTCATAAGTGCAGCGCTGCTTTGTTTACAGCAGAAACCAAGGAAACGCTTTAAGAATCTGCGTCTCGTTCAGCTCGTCTGCTGTTTCGAATCGTGAGTTGAGTGAATTGTTACATCCCTAGTGCCGATAGCGCAGACATACAGAGCTGTTGCGCTACAGGCCTCCCGAGTTCGAATCCCGATTCGAGAACATTTCCCGATCCCACCCCACTCTCTCTCCCACTTCACTTCCTGTCAGCTCTGATCTGTCCTATCATAATAAACGCAAAAACACCAAAAATAAATCTTAAAAAAAAATCTTTCATAATTTACTTTCATGGTATGATTCTTCTTTGAAGCTTAAAAGCTCCAGTCCTCAGAACATAAGTCATACAGCTTTAGAACAAAACAATAAACAACTAAAGTTTTGTTTTTGGATGGACTATCCTTTAAATCGAAATACAATTTCTGTGTCTTAGGTAAACAGGGAAAAATTCCCTTAATGCCATTTTTGGTACTTAGTAAGCCAGCTCATTTCACTTTGCTTAGGTTAATGGGATGCAGATATACTTAGAAAGCTTATGTGCTGCATGATTAGTGCTTCTATCCACTTACAGTACTCTCGGAATTCTCTTTTAACTAACCTCATTGCTCCTTAGGTATTAGACCTTTTTCAGATTTCACTTTTACTTAATTTGCCTTTTTTTTTAAAGGCTACTCTTTGTCATCATGAAAATGGTTTTGTTCTGATTCATCCTTGCCTTTGTTTAGAATATGTACTAACAAAACATAATTTACATCAATTAGAATCACTATTTCTTTTTTCTCACAAGTGTATACTGGAAAAAAGAAAATGACATGCACACACACACACACACACAAACAAAAAGCAAAATACGGTAGCTGTGGTTGCCAGACCTGAAACTTCCATAACTGAAGCATACGTAGTTACTTAATCGAAAATCCATCAAATGTGAGCTGTCACACAGGGACTTCTGGGAATGTCAATTTATAGTATTTTAATGTAAAATTACTCTAAATATAAGGTAAGGTTAGCTCTATTACAGTTATTCACTGTATACAGTAAGGATACATACTCTTAACCAGATAACAGGTTTTTGCCGTAGCATTTTTACAGTCTTTTATCGTTAAAATCAATTAATTTATTTACAGTGTTAGTGTTTGTGAAAATATCACGATTCTTGGTAGGAATTTCAATATTACGTCTACAACTAATATGCTGTTGAATACATTACCTTTTTAAATTAAGTTAAATATTATATACATTATTAATATCAAATATGAGCTAATTAAATTAAAACAACAGCATGCACATTTTCAAGTAATTACTTTATTAGCATAAAATACATAAAACATTCAAACTAATTTGACTGGGAAGTACGTCTAGAATTAAAATTTCAGCCTAAAGCACAGATTAGATATTTTGATGCATATCCAGCCTGTTAATGTTCACTTGAGACATTTTTGAAGGAGAAGTGCATTTGACCATTCACGTGTACTTTTCATACCCCTGCCACGCAGTAACATTCACATAAATACAGTATCCTCCACCTCTATCTATTTGAGCATAAGTACCCCAGCCGAAGAGAGTGAGAGTGTGATGTTGACTACAGGTTGAAATGAGCTGGCTCTTTTTGATGGCGAGTTCACTCACTTTCCCAGAGATGAAAGTCAATCCCAGCCACCTTGACTACATGCACACTTGTAACGCATGCAAACACCCTCTCCGTTCTGTCACCAGGAGAGGGTGAGGATGTTAATAATCCATATTTCCCTAATTAAGTTATACATCCCCTGTTAATTACTCCCTGGCCTCTCCAACAGTTTCTGCAAAGGCAAGCTGTCAGGCACATTTTATTGTGAATGATTAATTAGTGATGGATTTCTGCAGACCATTCATAAAGTATTCTTAAAGATTTTTCAAAGAGTAGCATTTTTAGCTACAGCCTCTGTGTTTAAACATTTGCTATTTCACTGATGAATTTTTTAGACATGACAGCAGACAAAGCCTAACCGTTTTATAATGCTAATAGTGAGATGTCGCTTTGATTGATTATATGGTTTCCTGAATGAACACATTCACTGTGTGATTTCAATATCAAAAAGAATGCAAGGGGAAAAAAGTGTCCTACCAAGGCTGTATTTAGAGTTAAAAAAGTAAAATTGTGAAATATTATTATGTTTTAAAACAACTATTTTATTTTAATATTTAAAAAAAATAAAATGTATTCCTGTGATGGCAAAGCTGAATTTTCAGCAGCCATTACTCCAGTCTTCAGTGTCACATGATTCTTTAAAAATCATCCTATTATGCTGCTTTGGTTCTCATGGAACATTTCCTCTTATTATCACAGATCAAAACAGTTGTGCTGCTTAATATTTATGTGGAAACTGTCATATATGATTTTTCAGGATTTTTTGATTAATAGAAAGTTCAAAAGGGCAGCATTTATTTGAAATCAAAATCTTCTGTAACATTCTAATATGGTAATACCACAGTTTTAAATGGTCTTTCCTCAGTTTCACATTTTCTGTGCAGCTTTTGGGAGAAAACGTGGAATTCTTCAAAACGTATTTAAATGTTGTTTAAAAAAATTAACTAAGCTATAAATACAACAGTTGAAAGCATTAACACACAGTGGTGTGTTCATTTCCAAATTATAATATCAAAGAAAACATCACCTTTCCATGTGACTGGATTCAGTGTGTCTTAGCCAGTGGGAATGAAGCACGGTCAAACTTTTGTTTTTTTTCTATAGATGTGGGTTCGGTTGAGGGCTTGGCTTATCACCGTGCCTGGGACACGATTTACTGGACTAGCTCCACCACCTCAAGCATCAGCAGATACACAGTAGACCAGAGCCGACAAGGAGCTTTCACCAGGCAAGCCGTTGTCACCATGTCTGAGGATGACCATCCCCACGTCTTGGCCCTGGATGAATGTCAAAAGTAAGATATGTTTTGGCCCTCTTAGGTATCCGATATTGTTGCCTATAAAGACTGTCAAATCACAAAAATGACATTGAGAATTTTTTTTTTTTTTTCAATTTTCAAGGACAGTACTTTTATACAGGACAAAACATTTATAATTTCACATGAGACTTTGAGTTTGTTGTCATGTGCATTGAAATGCTTATTTGTACTTCATAACATTCAAAAAGCCCAGTCATCGGTCATGTGACATGCAAGAACCAATGGCGTTTGATGTGACGCGTATAAAAGGTGCCATTTTTCCGCTCCAACAGAGGGAAAGATTTCATTCGCTACAGACTAAACAAAATGGACACATTCACTTGATAGAGAAACCTTTGTGGACACGTAATGTGAAACAAAATTGATTTTTATGTCAGGAGGAAGCATATTGACTTTTAAAATCGAGAGCAAATTGATTCGTCACACACAGGAAAACTGACATATATGGAATGTCAATCAGTCAAGAAGGAAAACATTTTAATTAGCTTGACCTCTTCAGATGAGCAGGGCACCATGTGAAATTAGTTGTGGAAGGAATATTTTTTATTCCTGACCCAGCAGAGTAGCAACTCTCCAGACATCGTGGATGGTATATGCACTTAAATATCCTCTCCAAAAGAACCGTTTGAGACTCATGAACAGCATTGATATTCAGAAAGATGTGCCGACCCTGAGTTCACCGACTACATTAAACCCCCAACCTTGGAGAGAATATGCTTACTTGGTAATCTGGCACTTTTTCAAATGGACTACAGACTGCTGTTAATTAGAATCTAACCTGAAATGATTAATTGGCATAGAATGTCAGCATGTATCACTAATTTTCAATTAGTCCGTGGAATTAGACTGTGAAAGGAATTTGTAAGAGGGACGTCAAATAGGCCCTGAGGCCTTTCTGTCCACTATTATTTGTGAATTCAGAGATATTTCCTTGCGCCATAGAGCCGGTTTAAAAATACCAGCAGGCGACAGTATTGAATCATTTTGTCTCGCTAGTGCTGTCTGTAAAATCGCTTCCATTCCTCTCATTTTTTGTCCCATGTATTTTGTAGCCTCATGTTTTGGACCAATTGGAACGAGCAGCGCCCCAGTATCATGCGCTCCACTCTTGCAGGGAATAACATGAAAGTCATCATTAGCACAGATGTATTCACTCCTAACGGACTCATAATTGACCATAAAGCGGAAAAGCTGTATTTCTCAGACGGCAGCCTGGGCAAAATTGAACACTGTGAATATGACGGCTCCCACAGACATGTGAGTATCACTCTTTCTCTCTTTCGTGATGTTTCAGATTTTTTTTTTTCCAATAAACAACCCTTCTACAGCATTTATTAATCTAGGTTGATGTGCTATTTAAATATTTTAAAAAATATGTAATATTTTATTAGTTCTTTAACATTTAAAATTAATTAATACTGTTAAAAATAGTTATAATGTTAGTTCATTGTTAATCAATGCATGTCTAATGTTATCTAATGCAACTAATACACAAAGAACCTTATTGTCAAGTGTTACCACAAACTTTAAGCAAATGAATTATGGTATGTTGATTAGAGGTCTGCTACCCGACACGAGACGGGTCCCGAAATACTTTCGGGTTTTGGGTCGGGTTCAGGTTAATGTTTAATGAATAGCTTCGGGTTCGGGTCGGGCTCAGGTTTATAGCTAAACTAAAACTATATGCAGTAGGCTTTCATAGACGCACGCACACACATTATTTCACTCGACAACGACAACACAGCACGGAAACTTTTATTAGTAAAATAGCTTCAATAGGCTACTGACTCGCAATGTTATATTTCTCTACAATGAGGGGGTAAAATCGCTGTTTTTGAAGTAACTAAGCCTCATTGCTTGTAGAGAGAGACGTGCAGACGCAGGTTCACACATGCAACTTTCATCCCTCTCGCTCTCTCTCTCTCTCTCTCTCTCTCTCTCTCTCTCTCTCTTTCTCGTTAATTAAAATAAATTATATAATTAATGAATTCAAATAAATGCGCTCTTACCGCACTGCATCTCTGTGTCTGATTTAAAGCAGGCC